TACGAAAAATTATGCAAAATTTCAATATCAAACACTAAGGTAGTGCTTAATTACATTAATGCGGGACATATTTTTTGTTTACATCATTTGTTTTCCCTTACAAGATTGTTCATTTGAGCGCGTTCTTCTCATTTGTATATGCGAATTGATTGAAGAACACATGGAAAATGATGCAACTTTTCGACACCAATCATTAAGACACAATAATTCAAGACATATGTTTGAAAATAATTCTCATTTTATTTAAATCGCTTGCAAGATTGTTCATTTTTTCAATTCATTGATTGATTGAAGATTAAAAAAAATCTATGCATAAATTTATTATCAATTATCAGTATGTATATCATTATCTTGAATTATTGATATTTAATTTGTATGTTCTTAAAATGTGTAATCAATATTTGTATCTGTGAAAGAATGATATTCCGAAGAACCTTGGATTCAGTTGGACCACTGAATTCCCCACTTGTCCCGCTATAGCCTTTAAACTACATTAAATTTTGCAAACTAACTATTCCTTTGGCAGCTGTACTATATACAGTTCATGTATTTGAATAAAGCATTAGTTTATGGTGAGAAAATGAAAAAAGTGACTCATAAATACAAGATAAGCTTAAGATATATTCAGAACTGAAAACGTTACTCTATTAATAGATTGAGGCTATAAGTCGGTAATTTCTTTTCGTATCGATAAGACAAGTCCAAATACCAAGTTTGTTGTCACTAGCTGTTATGGTTCAAAAATTCTCGGGGGTCATACGGACAGACAGACTGTCCTGTCTATATCGATTGGTTGTGTCATGCTTACCATATAAAGTTTGTGCCTAAGACATGGGTGTGCCACGCCTCCGTCTGCCTGTTAAACTATAACTTGCTAGTATACTCGTATACCTCATTCAGAAGTCCATTACCAATTGGCCAATAATTTCAATACAAGCATTCGCTTTATTGGACACTCCCTAATTTTTAATTGTCCGGCATTATACTGTATATACGTCGTATGTATATACTTATATTTAAAAAAGACGTATTTTGCTTAGCAATTAATTCAGTTTGTAGGGCAATCCCCCAAAAATATGTATTAACATATATATACGTGGAAAGTATTTATAAGGCGAGGCCCGCCAGACAGAACGGAAACTTGGTTCATTCAAATCTGAAAGGCAAATATATGGATTGTCTGCTTTTTGAAACAAACAAAATGTTTTGACACATTGAAAACAAATACATAAATATTTTGACATTCACACAAACATACTTACTTGCATACTTAATTTCTGCGCCTGTTTATATACATATATATGCTCGTATATACATACTTGTGTATGCTTTTAATTCTAATTTCGATGCGTGTCAGCGCCACGAGGTAATTTTTGTATTTTTGTATTTTTTGATTGCTATTTGTTTGCTGAGGTGAGAATTTTGTTGAGTGCCGAGTTTATTCTAGTTGAAGTTCAAGGTGAGAGCGCGCCGCGCAGCCACAATAAAAAATGTATACATCTACTATATGAGGAGAGTGTATATATATATATATATATATATATGAGTGTGTGTGTGTTCACATAAAATGGTGCAAAAACAAACACAAACAAGAGGCACGCAACCTTGACAATACACCCAGAGCCTGTATTTTGTGTCGCCAAAACAACAATAAAAAGAACAACAGAAAGAAACAGCAACAAAATATATAGGAACGAAAATCGACCCGCACACTCCTACTTGGGCTGCTGACACACACGCGGAACAACAAAACACACACAGAAAATAAATAAACAAAACAACAAATTATTTTCATTATTCAATTGAAATTGATAATTAAATTGAAATAAATTTTGGTGCGAGTACGAATTGCAGCTTGGATTGACGCTCTAATTTCTTCAATCTGCGCTGAATGTCTGTATCATGAAATCAAATATTTCATATACGAGTATATAGTGTATTTAGTATTATTTATTTGTATGTTCTATATATAAGTATGCATGTGCATGAAAAAAACGGGTGTGATGTAATGCGTGCTTAGCGCTAATTTGTCGCTCAGTCGAAATATTGAGTGGCTTTCTGAGAATTTTTGTTTCGTTTTTGAAAGCAACAGGCGTGACAATCACCCTCGGAAATGGGCTCTTTGATGTCGAAGGTGTGTGATTAAAGAAATAAAACAAGCCATATACAAAGTATAATAATAGGACAGATCAAATACAAGAGCATAGACACATTATTTTAAATTTCAATTGGAGTGTCCTGCAAATAGAAATTGAAACAGACTTAGCCCACCCAACAATGCTCAGCTAAATAGACTTAGAATAGGGTTCAGTGCAGAGTGGCAAGTAAACTGAAATAAGTCATGTTTATTCGATTCAATAACACCCTAATCTGATGTAAATCATCATCATTTGGAGAATATAAACCAATTCCTACTCCTACAGTCTTACTATTTCATTCAAGTTTGTTGCACTAATCGTTCCCATGGCTGCTGTCATTATGCACAATTTCTTCAGTATATGATGGGACATTATAAAAAAAACGCGTTAATACTATATTTGGACGTTATAAGTTAACTCAATTGGCCAACTTTGGTATCCCTACCTGTTATGGCTCAAAAGGTCTCAATGTTCATACGGTCGAACATATTTGTAACGAGTTGATATCATATCGTCATGCGACTTCTAATTCTGCTTGTAATATTATTATATTAGAAAAATATAACTTTTTCATTTTGCTTGGTCTCTCCCTATTATGATATAGGGTTCTACTTGAGTTTATTTAAAACGTTTAGGCATGGCGATAAGATTAAAGAATGTATATGTAGAGCTTACAACGAATTAAACGACTGATGTAACATGTAACCATACATATATTCGTAGATAAGCAACAAATGCCACAGGTTATAAATATGTATCTTATGTCACTTTATTTGTTACGTCCTACGCGTTTCTTTTGCATTTATTTAAAGAATACTTTTAGTTATGTCCTTAAAGTCGCGTGTTTTGTTTCTCGTTTGTTATGCATGTTATCTTTAAATAATTTAATACTTTTAAACCCCATTTCAATTGTTGAACCTAAAATATTTCAAAATAATGAAACTTTAAACATAGGTAGAAAATCCTATGTATTTTTTAAAGCATTATTTGAACCATAAAAAAATTAAGAAAAAATCTGTCGAAAGCAAAATAATCAGTCCTTATTTACAAAGGAACAGCATTGAAAATGTAGAATATTGTTAATAAACATTAAACGGATGTTAGAAGAGTTCCACAATTAGTTTAGTTCCCTGATTCTTCTTCTAATATTCCTATCTTCCACTACATTTTGCATTCAAGCGATCTAAAAATCACATACATCTACTATATCCCGGAGCATATTTAAATTTCTGATCAAATCTTGCAGGCATTGCTAAATTACTAAATCACTATTGGGCTCTTATTATTAACATAGAAATAAGAAATGCTTCAGTTTCTCAAGAATATGTTGGGCATTTCCCTCCACTCTCTTATTTCAATTCAAATATATTTCAATTCAATTCAAACATATGTGGAATATCGACTTTCACGTTCACCTTCGCTAAAGTTACGCAAATGCCAAAAGAGCTGTTCAAGATCTAGATAGACTTGTCATATAATTTGACCTTTTACTGTCACTTTATAATATAATATGTATTACTGCTGCTGTTGTTGTTGTTATTGTTAAATAACTGTTACTTGTCATTCCTCATGCAATGTATTAATACATGACTATATACATATTTATACTCGCATATATATTATATGCATGTATGTATACAAGTATGTATGAGGTATGTGAGTACTGTTTGGAAACGGCTGATTCACTTGCATGTCAACGCTTCGATTTCCTACGTCCATATATAGTTATATATATGTAGAACCTGTAGCACACGGTCAACCCCCGACCCCGACCCGACAGACCAATCAACCAGAAAGCGTGTGTTCTGATACAAGTGCCGTTGTATATTGCCAGGGTCAACGAGTTTTGTGGCTGAACATTTACAGTGCACGATCATTACAACGGACTAGGTGTTATGGTAGGGGCTACCAATTATATTTTTGGGAACAGACCTGGTGCTGACTATTCTGAAGGAATGTACCATAAGTACTCGTAATGCCCTCAAAGGTTAGATAGTTAAAGCACTGTGTTTGTGGTGGTTGCTCTGAAAAGGTTTAAAATAGAGATCGTATTCTTAAAAACAAATAATCGCCATATTTAAATACTATTCATAAATAGCCAGCAGCAAGCTCAAGTGTTATTTTCTATCAAAACCACTTCTTAATTCTTCATTTAATCATACAGTTGTACTCAACATAATAGAATCCAGAAGAAATTTTAAAATAAGCTGCAAATAGTGATAATATTTGTTGTGTCTATATAATCCACGAGTAGGTCACTCACAGTGGGATGACAAAAACTAAATCTACCAAAAGAATCATTAGTTTTATAAAAGCATATCGTGTAAAAATTGGAACAAACAAAGTGAAAGAAATTGAAGTAAGATCCTTCAATATAAACAAAAGTTAATTTTAAAAAAATTGAGTCCCCAAATCCATTGCCACAGGCGCTATATATCAGAACCGCCCGATGTTTGGAAAAACCCATTAAGGAGGACGTGCGTGGAGAAAGTAGCAATATCGATTTCAATATTTAATTTAAATATTCATGTCAAAAATATCATGTTGAACAGAAAACATATAGGGTTGGGAGAGTGATATGGAAATGAGACAATAATGAGAACACACTACTTATATCAAAATCATATGAGATTCATTATCCTTGCTATTTCTTGCCTCAATTCACTAAAATTCTCAATATTCCGGGCTGGTGGAGTAAATCCACCTTTATTAAAATAAATTTGTGAAAACATTTTGTTTTAAAATATATATTTCTTATATATTCTTTCTGATATGATGTGTAAGCATCAGACGTATAAATATCTAATGCTGGGCCAAAAAAATTAGTATGAAATATTTGTCATAATAAAAGTGAACACTTACCTAAATCTGGAATGGAACTGGAGGGCTCCTCGCCGCTATTGACGTGGTGACTGCCATTGGAGCTACCGCTGCCTCCCAGACACGAGCTAGTGGCATGCTTGATCTTGGGTGGTGGAGGCGGTGGCGGTGGTCGCATGACGGCGTTGCTGCTGCTGTGATGCGATGAGGAATGACTGCCACCACTACTGCTGCTGTTGTTGTTGTTGTTGCTGGTGCTGCTACTGCTGCTGCTGCTGGAGACAATGGGCGTGCGAAAGATATGCGAAGAGGTGGCTGCGGCTGCGGTTGAGGTGCTAGCCGCTGCAGAGCTGGATGTGGCACTAGCAATGACATGCTGTTGCTGCTGCTGCTGTTGTTGTTGCTGTTGCTGTTGCTGGAAGTGGTTCGAGGCAATTACATTGACGTGGCGCGTAGTGGTGGTAACAACATATTTGCGTGCAGCGGCCGTGGGCGGTGCGCTGCCAACAAATTGCTGTAATTGCTGCTGATGCTGTGAGGTTGGTTGGGTTGGCGGCGGCGGAGGTGGCGCTGAGGGAGCGGCTGGCGGCGGCGTTTGACGCTGCTGCTGCTGATATTGCACGTGAGTGGGCGAGAGTCCTGGGGAAGGCGACTGCTTGATGAGCACATGTGACGATAGGGATTCATTCAAGTGCGGTGGCTCGATGTAGGAGCGTCTGGCGATGACCGGAGAGACGGGCGCGGAACGCGAATGGTGGTGCAGGGGCGGCGGCGAAACGGAATGGCGACGCAACGCGGCGACCGAAGAAGCGGAAGTGCTCGCATTGCCGGACGCGGCGGACTCATCGTACAAGCGACCATCGCGTATGACCCGCACATGATGCTGCTGCTGCTGTGGACGCTGCTGGAGCTGCTGCTCCTGATGATGCAGTGGCGGCGGCGATGCCGCTGCACCACCAACACTGTTCACCAGACGCTGATAGTGCGACGGACTGGCCGAGTGGCGACGCGACAAATGCGACTGCGCCACCGTCGGCACCGTACGAGTGATGATAATTTGTGGGGCACCACCGCTGGCCAGAATGGTCGTCGTCTCGGGCTGGGTGCGGAGAGCCAAAGCACTGCCGGATCCAGCCACATGCTGGGTGTAGATGTGCTTGATGGCGCCCACGGTGGTGCCAGCACCGGCGGCGGTGCTTGTCGAGCTCGCACGCTGCTGCACATACTCGACACGTGGCGTCAGGATCACCTTCTGAGTGCCACCTGGTGTGGTCAGACCTGTGGGTTGACGGGGCGGCACCGTTTGAACCTGCACATGCGTATAGCGCTGCTGTTGTGGCGGCGGCGCCTGGGGCTGAGGCTGAGGTGGTGCTACATTCGAGCTGCTTGTAGCCTCTGCGTCGCGCAGCTGTCGCCGCTCCCGCAACTCCTGCTCCTCCAGATGCAGCATCTCGAAGTCGATGGGCTCCGTTTTGATGATCTTCACGTTGGCCGTGGACAGACCGACAGCGGCGGCTATTTGTGTGGCTGTTGGAACGCTGCGTGTGCTGTTGCTGTTACTGCTACTGTTGCTGTTACTGTTGCTATTACTGGAGGCAGCGGCGGCGGCCACAGCTTCCATGCATTTCAATTTTTTCAACATCTTGCTTGTATGTGTGTGTGTTTGTTTGTGTGTGTGTAAAAAACCGTTGGACAACGTTTACAAAAAAAGTTGGCGCAAAAATATATAGTATATGTTTGAATATCGATATAAATATATATATACTATATATACGAATATGTATATACTTATATATGCTTTACTTTTGTATGAGTAGCTTTAGCTTTTATCCTTTTCGTTTTTGTATCTATGGAAAGATTTCTTTTGGATTTGATCCTGAATCACCTGCTTCGCTCTATGCTCTGTGCTCTGTATGCTGTCTCCTTATCCTTCTCCGTCTCCGCTTCCGTTTACTTATGTGCTTTGCTCTGAGTTTTCGTTTCGTTTTCTTTAGTAAAAATCAGTCTCTTCTTCTTTCGCTTGTTGCAATTGTTTTGTTTTTTGTTTTTTGTTTTTGTTGGTTATTGGTTGCTGGTTGATTTAATTTCTCTTCCCGTTTGTATTTTGTTTCTGCTTTTGGATTATCAAAAATGGTATCAGCCTTCAAAGTTGCAAAGTTGTTTTAGTTTCTTTACTATCTGCTACGTATTTATCGTAAACCCCTTAATTCTGTTTATTCTGCTTAACAGCTACTTTCCTTAGGTAGCTAGCGTTGTTCCTTAACCTGCCCACTAAACCGCAGCAATTATTATGTAAATGATGCGCAAATGTATCTTAAGGGTCGAGTGTTGAGTGTCGTCGTCGAGCCGTGAGCAATGAGTGGAGCTCGAGCTGAGGTTTCTTAATTAGTTGCTAATAATACTTGTCGTGTGTTAATGTTGTCTCCTCAGCAGCTTCTTGAGTATGTTGTAGGTAATTGAAGGTATTAGCTGAAAAGAGGAATTAGAACTTGCAATGGCAATCATAGAATTAAGTCCTGTAGCCCTGTATGCAATTCTAACAGATGTTTGTATCAGCATCAATCTCCCATCTTCAATCTCTCTCAATCGCAATCTTCTCACATTTTTTAAATGCCTTGCTTCAAATCAATCATTGCTACTCTTTTGCTAATTCTATTCAATCCTTTAATATGAAGTTCCTATGTTAAATAATTAATATCCAATGTTTTGAAAACTTGAAAATAGTTTTAGAATTTACGACATATACATTTTTCATAATAATCCATCAAAAAAGGCTCTTAATTCTATTATAGTATTTCTAACAGAAGAGTACAAATATATCGACTTTTAAAATTCAAGCTAATTGGAAATGATCATTAAACCTGCTACACTTATTATTGATCTAATAATATTTTTTTTAAATCTCAAAAAATTTCAATTTGTTGAGAAATATCGCAATTAGTTGGCATACTTACTTTTTACAAATAATATGCGCCTGATTGATTGTTGATCTGATTGATGTATTGATTAAAATCGTTGAATAATATTGTTGTATAAATATATATATTTATATATGTATGTATGTATGTAGGTAATATGTGTGATGAATACTTGTAAGTTTTGTTTACAAATAATTTACAAATGTTGTAAATTAGTAATTAAGCATACGCACTTAAATAGGTTTTGTATAATATATGGTTGTTCGCACAAAGTTGTGGTAAGTATTATGACAATTGCACAGTTTAAAACTTTTACGAAACAGTATTGTACAAATATTTTACAAATATTATATATTCCGCTTAAATATGTAGCAAGTAATTTTTATTCCAAAAATATATGTATGTATGTATATATTTATTTTGTTATATTTTTAATTAATATTAACTCTTAATTCACTTGAATATTTTGCACATGAAACACAACGCCGCAGTTGTCGTTTTATTTATTAATTATTGATTTATTTATTTATTTGTTTGAACCTGAGCAGTTAATTTTATTTGTTTAGTTTTCCTCGAAGCTTTATTGATTTGTTGCTGTTGCTGTTGTGGTTGTTCTTGTTTAGTTGTCCTTGTTAAACATCTTTAGAAAAATATATAGTATGTTAAATATTTTCGCTATACGACGCATATGTACATATGTATGTACATAGATGTACATAAGTACGTATGTCTATAGCTGGAGGAGTGTATGCGTGCTTGAGTTGTTGTCTTGCTGCTGTTGGTGTTGTTTTGCTGCAACATTTTGTCAATAAACATTTTTATTGAAGCGAAATTTAGAAAACATGTCAAACGATTCTAACTTATGCCTTTTCGGTATTTATTTAATTTATACTTTTTTTAAAGTAATTTTTTGCTTGGTTTTTTTTGTTGTTGTTTTGTTTTGTTTAGCTAGATTTTAGCTTTAGTGGCCTATGTATTTTGCTTTATTGTGGCCACGCTTTCAATTATTTCACTTTTTATTTCATTTTTATTTTTATAACTTTTGTTTAATTTGCGGCAGCCGCACAACAAAGCGTGCAAATAACCTTGAATTTCGCGTTGTTTATTTTTTTATTTTGTGGTTTTTTGCTTTTGTTGTTGTTGTTGCTTTTGGTATGGATTTTTAACACTTGATCCTAACACTTGTTAGCCAGGGGGCGTGGGCGGGGCTTTAGCCAATTAAAACAGCTGTCGTCTCTGACTTTTGAACTTCGTACCTTTGCTGCTGCTGTTGTTGTTGTTGCTTCTGTTGACTTATTTTATTTAGCCAGAAGAGTTTATTAAAACACATTGCTACAATTTGCTGTTGTTGTCGACGCGTTCACAGAAACTCTACAGCTGTTTCGAGTATCGCGCAAAACATGCCGTTTTCTTCAAAATCGCTCGGACGTTTGTGTGTGTGTGTATCGAATGACGAGGCTATTGGGGAAACAGCTGAAGAACGTTGTGGCGCAACAGCTGTGGTGGTGGTGGGGGTAGGCGGGGCAGGGCGTGACGCGAACACGGACGCTGTAACAGCAACAAATATTGTGTTGGCATAGCATAAAAATGATTGCCAAATTGTGAAAAGTCAATACATTGGCGGCAACTATGACGAGCTCGAGAACGAATATGAGAATGACATTGGGGGCCAAATGCCAGCCAGCGTTCAAGAGCAAGGTAAAAAAGACGACGCTGACATTGACGACAACGGCAACGACAAGCGACGAGCGACAAGAGACGAGGACACCACTAACAAAAACACCAACAGCTGTTCGGCTGCGAATTCTGTTGAGCCTTGCCAGCAACGCTGGCGGACAAAGGCAACAAGGCGTTGGGCTGCACAAGGACAAGGACACCACTCGCGGAGCGACTCGAACTCGGTCTCGGATTCGCACTTTGGTCAATGTGAAGGTTAAACGAATATCGCACTTATATAAATTTTCGGACTTAGGCCACTAATTGTTGCACTTTTACGGCCATACTTATTAAGAAACTACTTTTATTTCATTTGTTTACGAGTGGTACGACGGCTTGCAGTTGTTGTTGCTGTGATTTGTGCTGTTGTTGTTGTTGCTGTTGTTAAAGCGCGCAGCAGCGAATAAAAAATGTGTGCAACCGTTGCGTGTGCCGTACTTTCTCTGACTGAGCATAAAAACACATAGAGCTTGCAGGCCAGAACGAAACTGGTAAGAACAAACACACACACTTACACACACACAGAATCACACACAGACAAAGGTATCAGCAGAAGCGAGAGCGCAAAAAATTTGCGCAAGAGAACGACTACAGCAACTAAAAAGGAAGTGTCTATGTCTGTGTACAATACCCAGCTGCACAATGAAAGTGAAAACCATGCGGTTGTGGGCACGTCTGTGAGCGCCTCATGAGAGCGCGAGAGTGGGATTGAGAGAGAGAGAGCCCCAATAAGCTCCAGTGCGCGCAAGCTCAGCAGCAGATGAGGAAGCATCGACAACAGCGGCAGCAGCAGTAGCAGCAGCGGCAGCGTAAAGAATACAACAAGCAAAACATAAATAAACAAAAATAAACGCGAATGAGCAAGTGAAAAGAAAATGCGCATAAACTTGAAAGCCAGCGAGGGTACAAAATATATACACAGATATAATTAATATGTATTTACGTGCTCCGAGTACACTCGGAAAAATACATTTTCTACATTTGCCCAAATCGCTCATGAGCTAAAAAATACACCCATCAAAAAGTAGAAAAACTAAAAATCTATTGTTCTTACATTATTTTAAAATACCTAAAACGAGACTCCGAAATACAACTAATTTGTTTTTAAATCAGCAAAACAAATTCACTACAGGAGATAATGCGTAAGAAAACTAATAAGAAATTAATTTGAAAAATACAATAAAGTTTGACGAAAAATTTGTGCATAAATTCGAGCCCAAAATTATATTGAATTATTAAATGATACACTTGTTTTTTAAAAAAAATGTGTTTAATAGTGGGTCCATTGCCCTTAGTTGTATTTGATGTGCGATATTTTAAATGTTAAAGCGACGTTTTTTCTGAGTGTACGCAACCGAGGTTTGGGTTTGGCAGGCTATGAAGTTTCTGGGGTTGCTTTAAAGCTCACCATCTCAGTGTATATCTATGTACTGCTGTGCTGGGGTGCTTTGGGGTGAAGTTTGAGCGGCAGGAACAGAAACGAAACTTCCGCCCAACGCACACAGTGAAGAACGCCACACTGTGCGTATACGTAATATGCGTAACTAAGTTACGCATTGAGGTAGGTTCGTAACGAAAGTGGAGTCAAGCATTGAAACATATTCTCTCTGCACGCAACTTGAACCACATTTTGTGACTTTTTCTTAAGCAATTAGAACGAAGTGATGAATATGTTTTGATGCTTCGCACGCAACTGTCATTTGTCATGAATATTAATTCAAAATAATAATAAAGATGATGCATTGCTGTCTGTTTGGTTAAAATAAATGATGCGACGCGTGCGTGTGCGTTTGTCAAGTGCACAACCGTCAAATATGAAAAGCTTCCGTAAACGTCAATTTGCCGCTACAATGAGCAATACTAAACTGCAATAACAAATGCACAACGACATTCAACATTCGTTGCATAGAAACAGAGCGCGCAACATTCAATAGCAATATAAACTAACAGACGACAAACTAACAAACATCCACACACATACGCAAACAACCCAGCCATGTGCAAATAGAAATGTATTGACCTTAACACTGAACACTCATTGCTGTTTGGGTGACGCAGTCGACTTTGGCGTCGCTGCCAACACTGCTGTTGCCGCTGCGCTGCTCTA